AGTATAGAAAGAAAACAGATGTTTCTTAATATACAGTATAAGTAGGAGAATACTTTGCAGTCTGTTTCTTAGGCTTCTACTGAGGAAGGTGGTTGTTCTGGCCACTAGGAGAAGCCTTGATAATAGTATTAAGAGTTCATATGAAGAGATGTTGTCCCTCAAAGACCATGGAGTATCAAATGCTTCTTTGATGCAGGCTCCGTAGTCCAGCACTTCAACCAAAGCATCCCAAGAATGTGTCCAGACATGAGACCCATGCGAGAAATAAGTCGGGAAACCCCAACAGACCATCACAACTAAAATTTAAGGCTACAGATATTTGCTCCATGCATCTAAAAATTAAGTAATCAAGAACAGCAGTGAGATCTCTTCAAAGGCATTTTGACTAGTCAGTCATGGTTTGGCAAAGTCCCAGCCAGGATGGGGTGAAGAGCAGGGCCCACCAACGCAAAGTTCTAGAGAGGGCTTCTAACCACTTATTGAAGATAACCTCCTTAAAGATAGGTGTTTTCACCACCCGTAAGAGAAAACAGCTCAGAATATTCCCAATCTCAATGAAATAATACTTGGAACAGCGGGGGCAATAGAAAAATCTCTGCGGCCTTAAAGTACTCAAGACTTAAAACAGCACTGGTAAAAGCAATAGACTGGCACTGTTCTTCTAGTTTCAGAGTGATGCAGAACAGCAGCAATAAGAGCAGTTTGTCGACCGCAGTGGACCGAGATTCCACAAAGGCAAGCTCATCAAAGACTGGAGTGACTCGGAATCAGAGTCTTAGCAGCTGATGGCTGAGAAGCTTCCAAGGCAGGTAAAGCAAACCCAGAATCTACAGAAGGCATGGGCGTGCATTGTTAGCTTCTACTACCATAGATAGAAGACTCTGATGACTGGATAGACTCTAGGAGCAGAGGGCAACACAATTCCAGGCTGCTGACGTCAGCACCATCAGCAAGCAGACTCAGAGCTGTTAAGAGTGCAAGCTGGGGACACCTCTTACAGAGGGACTGTTCCCCTGCATGTCTAGAATCAGACATGTTTCAGCAACAAAGCTCCAGGCAAGACCTCATTCACACAGCAAAAAATAAAGTGGTAACTGTAGCAAGGTGGATGAGGACAGTTGCAACCGCTAAGCCTTTAAAGCATAGACAGGCTCAGAGCAGCCACAGTTGTTGGGATGCGATTGCACCCAGAGCAATTGTCTGCGGTTAAGGACAGATGATTGCCCCTGCATGTAACAGGTTTAGCAAGGCCACAAAACCCATGCCGGTGGTAGCCAGATCGGATGGCCAGGAGGTGAATAAAATCACTGTAGACGAGCAGCAAAACTGGATCAAAGTGACACTTTGCAAAACAGAAGCAGAGAGAGGCTTTCTTGACTCTGTACGGTAGAAGAGGGACAGAAGCAAGTGCCCAATGTAATGGAGGTAGCGTCTTGGTGCTCAGCCTGACTGGCCTACTCAGTGAGACTTCAGAGACAGGGCAAGTGCTGAGGCATAGTCAGCAGCACTGGCGGAACTACCAGGGTCGCAATTGCGACCGGGCCCTGGCGTTCCGCCTGTTGGGGGGTGGGGGCCAGAGAGGAAGCAGAGGGCCCGAAAGCTTCCTCATGCTGTCCCCCATCCCCCCAGATAGCGCTGCATGTACGGGCGACTGTGCGGGGATAGAGAGGCTCTGCCTGTCACTTGTCTGCCTGGCGGGGCCGCTACAGATACAACAGGCACCGCAAGGCAGCACATTTTTCAGCTGGGACTGGGAGAGGACGGACCCTCTTCACTCAGCCCCGCCCCTAGGCCGCCAAAGAGCAGGAAGCCGAGCGGCTGTAGGAGTCATGTAAGTCCGGTTTGGGGAGTAAGAAGCTGCTGCTATTATATTTATTCACATTATAATGTATTGCTGGGACTTGTAGTCCTGCATAGTTGGAACTATTCTGCATTACTGTATAATCATTATACAGCAATGCATAATAGCACCAACTATGCAGGACCATAAGTCCCAGCAATACATTATATTATAAAGTAGGGGTGCATCAATGTGTGTGTGTGTGTGTGTGTGTGTGTGTGTGTGGAGATGGGGAAGATGCTGTAGTGTGGCCAGTCAGGGAGTGCATAGTAGTGCATGCACTATTTGTTCTGACCGCAACGGAACGCAGGCATCGATTTGCCATGCGTTCCAGTGCAGGCGATCGCACCGCGGTGCCATTGACTAATGCAACGCCACACCCCCTCCCACCCCAGAACGCAGTGAGCTGGTCGGGATGCAATCCCTTGGGGGGGGGGGCCTTAATGGTTTCTTGCACCGGGACCCTGAGGTTTCTAGTTACGCCTCTGGTCAGCAGTTCATGACCTGGAAAGCACTCCATGGCCAACTCATCAGAAAAGGAAAGCACCCTACACAGAACCCATATGGTCTCTTCCAGGCCAATCATGCAATGCCCAGTCCAACAGGGTCTGGATTCACTTCAAAAGCCAGTCTCAGGAGAAAAGCTCAAGCAGTGAAGAGTTTTGATTAAAGAGAAAAATGTTGAAGAAAAATGGCTACGAAAAATAGGTTAGTATTTTTCAAAAAAGTCATCCATCCTCCTAAAACACTAGCAGAAAACTAAGACTGCTAGTAGGAGGAATTATCCTGTGCTGGCCTACAGAGTTTGTGTTCAGTCTTCATGTAGAAAGTAGAATAACCATTGGTCTTCCTCAGACCCTTAAGGGAGAGAAAACAGGTTTTGTTTTTTTTTGAAATCACAAAAAAGGTAAAAAAAAAAAAAAAAAAAAGGCAAGGATTATATATTTGTAGGTATGCAAATAACCATTTTGGTAAAAGGAATCAGTGTTTCCCTTATACTGCACACATACCAAAGGATGGGTGGCTCAAGTACTACTCTTCATATATACTCTTTCAGCTGCCAAATAAAATAGATGAGGTAAAATCTACTTTAAGAGAATGCTGCAAAACACATGCATTGGAAAGCCAAACTATTCAAAAAAAAAACAAAAACCTAGACCTTTGACAGCACAGAGTAGACCGCAAAGCACAGTAATAAATAGCAACCTATAAGGAATTGTTTACTGTCCTGTCTGTTGTAAGTTAATTGAAGGGAAAAATTTAAAAGTTGATCTACAAAAGTGATATACACTCTGGTAGAGTAATTACGGTTGGTCCAATCGATCAGTTTGTCATGAAAGGTATTTGCCTTTTAACACCTTTTCTGCTATTTTATGGATAAGAGCTTACATCGTATGCAATTGCCAACATGGACAGAGCTCTTGGCATCACAAAGTCTCTGAAAATGTTGGGGGCAGTGCCCTTCTACCCACACAGCAACCAGATTTTCTTACCAGTAACCAAACCATTAAAGGCTTATTCTGATTGCTGTGGACAAAAAGCAAGTTCATCTTCCTAAAACTTCTCTAGACAAGACTTTGTGAACTTTATCTGTGCAGGTGGGCATAATAAAAATTCTCACAGAAAACAAAACAAAAAAACAGAACATTAATCCTCAAATTGCCCATTTTCAGATCAAGCCTGCCTATAAGCACTCACCTTTCCCCTTCCCTGTTAACATTCATTCATTCATCCAACCCCCCCATTACTGAGAAATTCCAGGTGGAAAAGATTTCAGAGCTTGACATCCGGCTCTTATGTAGCTAGCCCATCTGCAAACCGTCAAGTCTCTGTGCAATTAGCTTTCTTATTTACAGCTGTAATGAAGCAAAAGTCAAGGATTTAGCATGGAACTGCTGATCTGTGTCTGCCTTTCCCTCTCACTTGCTACCAATGGCTGTTTTCTTTTGATTTATAAAAAATGCAAAACATCTGCTGTTTGTCCAAATTAGCTTAAAATAATTACTTTTAATTTAGATAAAAAGAATCCAAGTTCACTAATTTTCAAGGTTTTTTTTTTTCTTTCCTTTCCTATTTTACGGCCTATTACTCTGCCAAAACTAGTGTGTGGCTGACAGTGGGAGAAGCTGTCAAGCTGGCCCAGTTTTCCTTTGAGATCCAAGGTCGAATGTGCATTTTTTGGCATTGGTTCACGGCAGGAACGCACCAAGCAACTTTCATGTCTGAAGTGGAAAGTCAGAAAAGATAATTTAACTAGGCTTGTTATTAAAAGATAGGGATGTGGGATGAGGTAAAGATAAGCTACAACAATTTACACATGTGCCTAATTCAATGAGTTTAGCAAATAACTCTAAACAAGGTTGCAAAGCAGAAACTCAGGATTTCCATACTTATATTGTCATAACATTAAGACTTAGGAACTTTGATGCCATTTAAAATGGATGAGCCACAATAAGAACTTTACGTCTGCATCTCATTAGACATTGCAACTGCTGGGGGCAAAATATACTGGATATAATAGTAAATCGTGCTGAACAATTTCACACTACACAAAAATTGATATTAGTACACTCTAATGGGTCACATAAGGGTGATAACCAATTGTTTACTCAACTGTTTTTCCTCTTATTGCCCTTGATATAAATCACATTCCAAACAAATCTTAAAGTGACATTAAACCCTCAGATTTTTTAACATAAACCAATACTGTAATGTGTGCCTTACTGTAATCCATGGTTGTTTCCCTTCTCTTTGCTGCTCTTCCTTTTAAATCTTCTTGTCTTCTCATGCTTGGGGAGAACTTCCCTTTGCAGCTGAGTGCCTCTTCCTGTAGTGCTGGCTCAGGTTGCAAACCTACACACAGACACCATGTATCCATTCCAGAGACAAGGCAGTCTGCTGCAAAACAGAAGTTCTGCCCAGCATGAGAAGAGATACAGATTTAAAAAGGAAGAGCAGCAAAGAGAAAGGAAACAACCATGGATTACAGTAAGGCGCACATTATAGTATTGTTTTATGTTAAAAAATCTGAGGGTTTAATGTCACTTTAAATGCTACCACAACTAGTATTCTAATTTAGCTCATCATATTTTAGCGAACAAGAGAAAAATGAGGGGGGATTTGGCTGTTTTCACATTTTGTAAGCATGTTGTTAGACTAAACTATTGTTTTGGCTGGATATTTCCTCTAACTTCCCATTCTGGTGATACCAGCACAAGAAATTAGGATTCTGATATCACATACAGGAAGACACAGAGTAATAAAAACAAGAAAACGTTCTAACCTATCTCGTCCATAAAGGAAAAAAAAAGTGCATTTGATGCTGTCTATGACCCCAACAGAGAAACATACTCACTTCCTGCTTTGAGACTTGTCACTTAGATAGCAAGGGATAATTTATCTCCCTAAAAAGGGACAGAGGACACAGCAATAAAAAATAAAAAATCCCTCAAGGCTTAAACACTTCAGTGTATTTTTTCCTGAAAATACACATTTGGTAAACAGTTACACAAATTATGTGAGACATCAAAAAATGTGACTACAATCTTTATTCTACAGCGCTTTTTGGAAATATATAATTGTTGTTTGGGGGTTTCAATTATTTTTTTTTTAAACCAAAAAAATGCAGATTTTAACTTGTGAGCATAAACATACAAAAATTGTGTTTAAAAAAGTGTTTAAATGTGTCTTGCCCATACAGCACTTACCCATTTGCCGCCTGAACGTTTTACATGAACGGGCAGACAGCAGCGCTCCCAGGGGGGGAGTTTAAAAAAAAAAAAAAAAAAGTCCTGTGCTCCTCCGCACTCTCTAGCATGTGCATGAGCACAATTCAGTGATTGGCCTGTCCATTGGACAGTGCAGATCACAAAAGGTGGGTACAGAGCCATTAAGAGTGTCTCTGTACCACGTGATCGCTGTGACCAATCTCAGCATCACACGTTATAAATATCAGCTGTGGTTAGCAGCCAGCTCTCAAGCCATTAGGTACTGGATAACACTGGTAAATAAATGATAGTGTCATTCAGTACCAGTGCCCATTCAACCCTCTACACCACTGGTCTCAAAGTACCGACCCACGGGCCAATTGCGGCACGCGAGCCGGTACTATGTGACCTCACAACCTCCTCCCTGTGAGTGAGACCTTTGTGTATGGGGGGGGGGGGGGGTTTTTTCT